ATGCTATGCTGGAGACACTCATTCATCTATGCCAAAAAATTTGGAAGAAAGCAACCTGGCCAAATGATTGGAAGAGAACCATATCTATGCTTATTTCAAAGAATTTAGAAATCATAGGACAATATTAATATCAGATGCAAATAAAATTTTTCTGGGAATAATTAAAAAACAGTTGTAGCAGTACATCAATAGGGAGCTGCCAGAAATTTAAGCTGGCTTGAAGGATATCATTGCTGGCGTCAGATATATCTTGGCTAAAAGGAAAACATATCAGAAAGACGTTTACTTGTTCTTTATTTACTCTGCAAAGGAATTAGACTATGTGGATCATAACAAATTATGGATAACATTGCAAAGAATGTATATTCCAAAATACTTAATTGTGTTCATGAGGAAACTGTCCATAGACAGAACAAGAACAGAACAAGGGAACACCGAATGGTTTAAAACTTGTGTATCCTTTCTCCATTCAATCTGTATGCTTTGCAAATAATGTGAGAAGCAGTATTATCTGTAGAAAAATGTGGCATCAGGATTGGAGGAAGACTCATCAACAACCTGTGATACTCAGATGACACAATCTTGCTTGCTGAAAAGAAGAGGACTTGAAATACTTATTGATGAAGATCAGAGTCTATAATCTTCAGTATGATTTGCGCCTCAGTGTAAAGAAAATAAAAATCCCTATAACAGAACCAATAAATAGCATCATGATAAACGGGGAAAAGATTGAAATTGTCAAATATTTCATGTTACTTGGACCCACAATTAACAATCATGAAAGCAGCAGTCAAGATATAAAATAACATATTGTATTAGGCAAATCTGCAAAAGACCCTCCTAAAGTATTAAAGAGCAAAGATGTCAGTTTGAGGACCGCCGTGCTCCTGGCCCAAGCCATGATATTTTCAGTTGACTTATGTGCCTGTGAACGTTGGGCAGTGAATAAGAACAATGTGTAGAAGAACCAATGCATTTGAATTGTATTGTTGGAGAAGAACATTGAAGGTACCATGAGCTGCCAGAAATATGAACCAATCTGTATTGGAAGAAGTACAGCCAAAGTGTTCCTCACAAGCCAGAATGGTAAAGCTTCATCTCTCATACTTTGGCTATGTTGACAGAAGAGATCAGTCCCTGGGGAAGAACATCATGTTTGGCAAAATGGAGGGTCAGCAAAAAAAGAAGAAGATCCCCAATGAGACGGACTGGCACAGTGGCAGCAACAGTGGACTCAAACATAACAATTGTGAGAATGGCATAGGACTGGGCAGTGTTATGTTCTGTTGTGTGCATAAGTCAAACTGACTTGATGGCACCTAACCACAGCAACAACAGTGTTGATCTCGGTTACATTACACCTACTATAGGGTGGATGCTGTTATATATGTAATTTCATTATTGCCCAAAACGGTTTTATGCTAAAGTGGTTATTGGACTAATTTGCACCTGTGGCCCAGGAACTTAATTTCTGTGGCATCACGCAGAATAGTAGCAGTGTCAGGAGTGGCTTCTGTTGGCCTGTGTATCCCACCAACCCCCTTCCTGGCTCAAGCTGTGCCTAAGCCTTGAGCAGGAAAAAATGTAGATGGTGTAGGTAGAAATGATTAACTAAGAATGCCATCCCCAAAGACCCAGACTTGGAAACAGAGATCATGGAGGAAGGGGTTGTGTTTTGATTTAACTTTTCTTACAGTATCTGAGAGCTCTAGGTGCTGTCTTCAGCTCTTTTTGGTTGCCATGACAGCAGATGTGACATTTCTTTCATGAGGAAAGAAGAAAAAGAAATAATCACACTTGGTCCTCAGTGATTTTTTAAAAATCTGTTCCCCAGATCCAAGTAGTTTTGTACGCATAGTGGTTACATTCCAAGAAAATTCTTAGAATGGAGTCAAAAGAGAATAAACAGGGAGGTGATGAAATCTGCTTTTCTGGAGAAATGACATGCTGTATATTTGGTGGTGATTTTTGAAAGAGGGGTAGAGAGGGACTAGACAATATACAGCTTGTAACAAATTGTCAACTGCATAGGGTAACAGCTAGTTACCAGGATCTTGTTTGTCATTTAATTCTGCTTCCAGCTCCTCTCCAGTCATATATATTACAGTATTTTGAGTTTAGCAAAGGCTCAGAAAAATTAGGGAAGGAAGAATGATACAGAAAACAAGAATTAAAATGCAGTGTGATGCATACAATGATGCCATAGGATCAGCATTCTATAAACGCATAAAGGAGATATGAATAAGTTTGATCTGTCTATGTGCACATATATAGACATAGATATATATATTTTCATTTATTACATTTTAAGCCCTTGTTCATGCTACTACATTAACCTCTGTACCCATCAAGTTTGATTGATGATTCAAATTCTCCATTGAATGGAAGGATCATGGTCCCATAGGTGGCATGTTTAGGTTGTTACCATTTTTGTGGTTATCAAGGAAAGAGCTTCATAGGTTGACACATCTGAGAGGACTTATTCATAGCACAAAATGCTTCATTCTTACATATATTCATGTTTCTCTTCCTTATTTCCTTATTGAGACATTTTAATCAGATTACAGTTGTTGTTGTTGTTGTTAAGTGCCTTTGAGTTAGTTTGGACTCACAGCAACTCTTTAAAGGATTTCTGAGGACTGGCTGGTGGATTTGATCCACTGACCTTGCGGTTAGCAGTCCAGTGCTTATTTTACAGCTCCACACCAGGACTCAGTAGGAGGTTAAAACATGTCAATTAAGTACTGAACGTCCTTTTTAATATCTCCCATTATTTCTTTGTATTATCTGATGGCCACCATAAACAGAGGCTGTTCCTTATCTTTAGGAGTCCCTGGTCTGCCATTAAGGAGCTCTGGTAGCGTAGTGGTTACAAATTGGGCTGCTAATCTCAAGGTCAGCAGTTCAAAACTACCAGCTGTTCTGCAGGAGAAAGCTGAGGCTTTCTGCTCCCGTAAAGATTCACAGCCCCGGAAACCCTGTAGAGGGTCGCTATAAGTTGGAACTAACTCCACAGCACATAACAATAACAACAATCTGACATTGCAGCCACCAAGGAGAAGAAAAAGCCAACCTCAACTTGTGACCAAAACAGTCAGAATGCAGGCTGAAATCCAAGGTGACATCCAGGAAGTTGGTATCAAGTGAATGATGGTTCTTAGAGCAGAGAGTGAATATTTAAAAGTGTGAATCTTAAATCTGAGCCACCAGAGATTTCTAACAATGTTCTCTTTTGTCATTTTCTCCAGAGCCATGTTTGACTATGACAAGAGCAAGGACAGTGGACTGCCAAGTCAAGGACTTAGTTTTAAATACGGAGATATTCTCCATGTTATCAATGCCTCCGATGATGAGTGGTGGCAAGCCAGGAGAGTCACTTTGGAGGGCGACAGTGAGGAGATGGGAGTCATTCCCAGCAAAAGGAGGTAAGGATGCTTTTTACATTTCAGAATATCTGCTTTTCAGCTACTCAGGGAGAAGAGAAAGGTGGAAAAAACTGTTCATAAAAGTACTATTTAAGTGGGATAGTGAATCCATTAGAAAATTGTCAGTAGTGCCAGGGGACACAAACTAAAAATCCTTATTCTTCTCACATTAAGATTTTACCAGAAGTGGTGACTATGATAAGATAGAAAGGAAGAGACAATCTGCTCACACTGCCTTCTTGAAGAACATTTACCAACATCCACATGTTTAATACTCATGTTTGATTATACTTATTAGCTTGTATGATGATTTCCACACCCAGAGGGTTTTTCTGGAGACTCAATATTTTTCAGAGAATTGTATAATTTAGGAAGGCTAAACTAAAAACCTGGGTGTCCTGGTGTGGCGCTGTGGGCTAATACACTGGATTGCAAGGTTGGTCTGAACAGCAAGGTTGCGGTTCAATCTCACCAGCTGTTCCTCAGAAATCCTATCCAGGGTTGCTATGGGTCATAACCAATTCAACAGCACTTAACAACAAACCCAAAAGCCCAGACAGAGTACATGAGAAAATAATCCTCAGTGAAGCCAGGTATTCAAGTGCTGATAAAGACAAAGTGATACAGTGATTAAACCAGGGAGAGAAAAAAATCAATTATACCCAAGAATAATTGGGGGGGGGGGGACTTGCGGACCCCAGAGAAGACTGGACTCTGTACCTGGGTGAGAAGAGGGCAGTAGAAGACTGTTCATAGATACTCCCTCACCTTTAGTAATTAGGAGTCACAGTGGAGCAGATAAAATTCCAGCGTATCCCCCAACTCTCCATGCCAGCCCATCTCCCATTTGTAGACAGTGCGCTTCTCCTGTTCTCCAGATATCTTTACATTTAAACCATTGGGCTCCTGGATGATTGCCCAGCATTGTGTTGTGAGGGGATTCTAACTTTATACAGTGTTTACTGAAAGGTTATGTATTCAAAGCAGTGACTTTCAGTGCCAGTTTGTTTATATTTAGGGCTTTGCCATTTCCATTTCTATCAAGAATGCCAAAACAACATGCATTTTGGGTTGCTTTAATTTAAATCATCAGAGCTGTCTGATAGGTTGTTCTCTAGAACGAGCTATCATGTTGAATGTGGGTCCAACGCACTTAAATGGGGTGGCGGAAGAAAAACTATGGGGAGATTGGTTTCAGCTGCCCAGAGTTGGGCTTGTCAGCCTGGATAGAAACTGAGCCAGAACAGTAGTTGCCCCATGAAGGGAATGTTATAAAAATGTGTATGTGTTATTCCCCATACAATCACACACACACGCCAAAGATTTTGATTCAGTCTAACTGGAGTGAGTTTTTAAAATATGTATTTGTTTGTTTGTTTCTGAACATGATCCTGATATTTAGAAGATCCCTTGGCAGCAAATATTGTAAATGAAAAAAAAAAAAAAGATCCAAAGTTTGAGTGGGAGAATTGAACTATATGATTGTGGACTTTTTGCAAACTTTGAATGGGAGAATTGACCTATATGATTGTGGACTTTTTGCAACCCCTGAGATTCTGTGATTTGTTCTAACCAATCTTGTCTTCATTCATTCATTTGTTCATTTGCACTTAACTTGGTCCCCCTCAGAAACATGCTCAGTTGCTATTCTTCTTGAGATGATTTTCCATCTGCCTGTGATCATGATTGAATTGACTATGTCTCCCCTATTTTAGAGGAAAATCATCTTAACAACCATACTGCAGCTGGCCTTTAAAAGAAGCCCGGTTCAGTGACTCCAATACTGATATTTATTTCAATTATATATCATGAAGGGTTTAGTAGCCCATGGCAGGGTTCAACAGAGAGAGATACATAGCTGTAAATGAATTTCTTCAAATTTCCTCTTTAGGGTTTGAAATCTTCCAAAAATATCTTAGCTTTATGTGTTTATAGAAGTAATGCCTTTTGATTGTAGAAAATGAGAAAATTTAGGAGGAATTAAAGATCCCTTATAATCAAGCCTACCCTACAAAGAAGCTTTATCATTTAATTATTAAATGAAGTTTAAATTCGGCTGTGAGACTTTGCTAGACCTGATCTTTAATATTTTACTTCTAAATGAGATACTTTTATTGGACATGCATTCAGGATCTTAAAACTATAGTTCAGAAAAAGTGATAGCTGGTATAAATATAATTTACTAATAAATTAAAGATTTTTAAGGATTCCTAAAAGGAATTCTGGTAGTGTGATTGTTACGAGTGCGTCTGTTACCCTCAAGGTCAGCAGTTCGAAACTGCTTTGGGAGAAAAATGAGGCTTTCTGCTTCCATAAAGATTTATAGCCTCGGAAACCCTATCCAGGGTCACTATGAGTCAGAACCAACCCCACGGCACAGTACCACCACCACCACCATCATCTCTACTCCCTTTCCACCTCTAGCATAAGTAGTCTGGAATAATCCCATATGGGTAACACTGGTGCATGATGTTATACTTTACAAAAAAGCTTTCTCTGTCTATGATCCCATGTCATCGTCCCAGTGAAGCCAGGAGGTGAATAGTACAGAAATTGTTGCCTCCCTCTCACAGGTAAAGAAACAGGAACTAGAAATGACAAGTAACACCACATACATACAGCGTGGCCATTGTCATTTCAGTAGTGGCTTACCATGTACAAATTCTTAGCATGTGCTAGACACTCTACTGAGCAAGTTGCTTGTGTTTTCTCTCTTTACGCTCACTATAACTTCTTCGTGTTGTTGTTGTTAAGTGCCGTTGAGTTGATTTCAAACCATAGCAACCTTGTACAGGTTTTCCAAGGAACAACTGATGAGCTTGACCTGCTGACCTTGCAGTTCAAACTGACTTTGCAGTCCAGCGCATTAGTCCGCAGCACCTATTCTAATTCTAGGAATATGAATCCAGAGATGCTAAAAGGTTAAATACCTGTAAGTAAGTAGCAGAGGCAGAATTCAAACCCAGGCTTCCGTGATATCAGAAGCTTATCACAAAACTTCTATCGCTGAGATCACATAGCTTGTGAGTGACCAGGCTGGGTTTTGTCCTACAGTCTGTTATTTCAAGTCTCTGTTCATTGCCCCAAAGTGACCAGCCGCCTGAATTCACAGATGGCAGCTTGTGGCTAGCATTGCATGAGGGTTTACTCACCTAGTTTCTAGAGGTAGCAAGCCTGTGGCCACTACTGCGGGTGGCATTCCAATTCTCCCACCAACAGGTGCCTGTGGAGCACAGGCAAAGAACTCCAAGTAGCAAATACAAGAGGGTTTCACAATTTTCATGGGAAAAGTCTACTATCTTTTTATTATATTTTTTACGGACTTTCTGAGGCGCCCTTGTATGCTCTAAGCCTTACCCCACTCTGTGTTTGCCTGGAAACTGAAGATGCCAGATGGGAGACGTGTGAGAAGGTATAGGGAAACAGTTGGGTCGTTAAAGCTCTCAGGAGGTGCTAGTATCCGAATTCATTGCTCAAATGTTGTCATCCAGTTGGTTTTCAGTGTTTTGGTCAGTGACCAGAGTAGGGTGGAGAGAATTGCTTCTGCTTCAATAATCGAATCAGTTGCTTGACTCTGAGTATAAAGGATTCATACCCACCATTTCTTTAGGTAAAGGCCTAAGGCTTTTCATGTCATTTATTTCTGCCTTAGGAGTGTTACTCAGTAATATAGAGAAGGTGGTTCTAAACAAACATTTACATAGATTCTTACCAAGGAGGCAAAAAATGGGAACTATTGAATAACTTTTTTTTTTTTTTTTTTGGAATAACTTTTTGTGGGAAAAACTTGTTTGAACAAATGACTTTGAGCTTTAGTTTTGCCATCTAGATCAAGAACTAGTAGTTTCCTTGATTGATACTTTGGTTCATTCATTAAACAGGTATTATAAGCTCAGGTCTATGTTAGCCCCAGATAGTGGCACAGATTAGACATACTATAGGTAAAATGCTTAGCAGAGCTGTTTCTATAATACTTAGTGAACACTCAGATGATACCTACTGCCCCTTCTTCATCCATAATATGGGGCTGATGATGCAGGATGCAGGAACCAAATGAGATCATGTAAACGTGCAGGAACATCATTAATAATTAAGTGTTATATTCAGTTGCCATTAAAATGATCATCAACATGAAAATTTTTTTTTAAGTTTTGATTGTGAACTGAGTGTTAGTTTACATGGGGGAACATCAGTTTTACACTCATCCTATTGTATTTCGTGTCATTGCAATGATGACAATCCCCTCCCTGCATCTTCATTCAACAGTATTTGCTTCTATTTCCTCTGTGGTTTTTTTTGTTTTGTGTTTTTTTGGGGGGCCGGGGGGTGGGCATCAAAACACTCAGGAATATACAATCATTCAAACAACCAAAGGGAACACCCTGCAAGCCTGTCCCCCAGCCACCAGCATCATCAACATCATTATTAATGAAACTTTCAACCCAAATAAGATGTAGAACTTTCCTGACTTCCTTTAGCATGCGAACCCAAATCATGTCCCCTTTATAGTAAGATTTCTAAAACAAAACAACATACATTTTATTTGCTCTATTATCTGTTTTGAGGAGTACTGGCGTGGCGTTGTAGGATAAGCCCTGAATTACTAACACAAGGTTAGCAGTTCAAACCCACCAGCTGTTCTTCAGAACCCCTATAGAGGGTCACTAACAGTCAGAACCAACTCCACGGCTCTTAACAACAATATTACCTGTCTGAAGATTAATAAGGCATAGCAAATATTAGGGGTGTGTGTATGTGTTTGACTTAACATTCTTTGTAATCCTTTTAAAATTTAAAAGCTCACCTACTAAAAAAATGGCCTAGAAATGTATTTCTTAGGAAAATTGAAAAAGATGAACTTCATTATCAGATGGAAAAAAATTAAAATGTTTAGACAATTCTTAAAGAAGAATACTGAGTTCAGTCTAATATTATATATGTTTGGAGCCTATGTGTTTCTGTGGATTTATGTAGAATTTATTTCTATGGCCTGTTCAAATAACCATGTATTCCCTGAATTCCACAGACTTTATGTCATAATCTAATGAAATACTGTTTCCCATTAGCCTAGTTAATGCAAAGAGGCCAGAAGGAAGTCAGGGCTCTACCAACACTTTTAGAAAGATCCAAAAGGATTAGTATGAATTAGCATTTGGATTTGGATTAAAACTGAGAAAAGCTGATGGAGCTTGAAGCAGGCATTTTCTCAGTGAGCATTTTTCCATTTGGCAGCTTGAGAGCTTTCTTGCACCCCTCCCAACTATAGTACGTTGGGTGCAAGCAGAAACATATTGCTTTAATATCTGAGGTTAGACTTGAAAATTTTTATTCAGCTGTTTCCACTCAGATATTCTACTCACAACTAAAATAAATATATTCTGAACTCCACTCTGTAACTATAGAAACCATGAACTTCATTGTGTTTCAGTGGCAAACACAAAAGAACCCTCAGTTAGAAAGGAGTATGTTGTTAATTATTGATCTATGAATAGCTTAGATTTCAAAAACCATAAAGTTTCTAGGGATTTGGATTTTCTCTCCCCAGTTTTTGAAATTAAAGTGAGCCATGTTTAAACACTGTTGCAGCAATGCACTGAATATTTTAAACAATTTTAAGGGATCTGGTGGCATGGTGGTTAAGGTGTCAAATTGATAACCAAAAAAGTCAGTAGTCCTAACCTACCACCAACTACTGTGATAAGAGATATGACAGTTTACTTTCAAAAAGATTTATTGAAGCTTTGGAGATCCTATGGGACAGTTCTACTGTATCTTAGAGTGTCACTGTGAGTTGAAACTGACTGGGTGGCAGTGGGTTTGCTTTTTTTTTGTTGGTTATTTTTGGTTTTACTGTGAAGTGATATGTGGGTTTACCCTCAAGGAACATACAATCTTGTATGTGCAGATGCAAAAATAAACAGAATCCAAGAGATAATGCCAAAATAGAGATACCAATTGCTGTCTTACCTTAAGAGGATGGAAGATGATGTCCAAATGAAGAGGCTCAAAAACTGAGGGAGGAATTTAGATTCCTTGTTCCTCTTCTTCAATGCCAGCATTCAAACAAGTACCAGTCCTACCAATTCCACCACTACCACCACCCCTTTATGGCTCTGTAGGATAAGCACTGGACTTTGAAACACAAGGTGTGCAGTTCAAACCCACCAGTTGCTTTTTGGAAACCCTATACAGGATTGACGGCACTTAACATTTCTCAAACTCTCCTTTGTCCTCCACTCTATTACTGTTCCTCATTATTTCTTGCCTAGATTATAGCAGTCGTTTCTAAATAGGGCTCTTGCTTTCTGTCTCTTCCTCTTCCATTCTGTTTGCCACCTCCACCTGGGTCATTTATTTAAAATGTAAATCACATTCTGTATTTTCATGGTTCTCCTCTACTTAAGGAACCCTAGTGGTATCATGGAGTAAGCATTGGGCTTCTAACCACAAGGTCAGGCATTCTAATGCACCCGTTGCTCCATAGGAGAAAGATAAAACTGTCTACACCTCCTTAAGGTTTACAGTTTTGGAAACACTATAGAATAGTTCTTCTCTGCCCTAAAGCATGGCTATTGGTCATAATTGACTCAATAGCATTGAGTTTTTTTCTCCTCTACTAGCTCGTTAGGGCTCTTGGTGTGGTGCTGTATGGTAAGCACTGGCCTGTGAACCACAAGGTCAGCATTTCAAACCCACCAGCTACTCCTTGAAAAGCCTATACAGGATTACTACGAGTCAGAACTGACTCCACGGCACTTAACCACAACAATTCATTAGAACTTCGCAAAGGGAAATAAAAAGACACCAAAGTCCTCAGTTAGTTGGGGACTCATAAAGATCTCACCCCATATCCTTTAGAGTCCTGGTGTGACGCTGTAGGATTAACACTCGAGGTTGGTTTGAATCACAGAGTTTCTTGGAAACCACCATATACAAGGTAGCTGTGAGTTGGAACCGACTTGATGGCATTTAACGGCACCCATATCCTTTAGGTACCTCCCTCATACATGAATCTTCTAGCAATTTTACAGTTTGTGCATGTCTCTCTGAATCATGTTTTACCATGTCTGGGAAGTTCTCCCTAACTTTTTCCTACTCACCAGTGTTTACTCATCCTTCAAGTCTCAGGTAAACTGACAGTACCTCCCAGAAGTCTACTCTAGTATTTCCTAACCATCCTTTTCATCTCCCAACAAGACTGGTGTTTCTAAACTGCTATCAGCAATCTTATTGTGAAGTATTATCATTTAATGTTTACTTTTCTGTTCCTGCCTCAAGCTTATGCTAGTAGGTTTTTGCAGTCTTGCTTTTAAAAAATATTGTGATGCTCCCCAGTTCCTTACCTGATATATGGTAGGCATACAATCAGTGTCTGAATGAATGAAGTAGCAGGTAAAATAAGGAATCTGCAAAGATGACAGGAGAACATCATTTGGAGAAGGTAAAAATGCAAGGTCATACGCATGTTTTCTTATGAACTGAAGTTACAAATTCCTAGTGTTCTTAAAAGAAAAGAAATGAGGAAGGAAACAAAGGCAATGCTGTGTAGTCTCTGCTTTAAGTGTTCATCTCTGTTGACTAAGTTGTTGAGATAGTAGTTGACTGATTTATGCCTTTACATAGCAAATAGTGAGTTGTCTCCTCCTTTGGTCCTTCCAAATTCTGCAAGTCTCAGTACATGTAACACAGTGAGTTTCAAAGAGCCTGCAGTTTAGAGACCTTATACCAAGATGTTACAGTGAACAAAGGAACAGAAAGATTTCAGAACACATTTCAGTTGAGCTGTTGTAAGGATAAGGAAGAAGAAGGAGTTCTTCATTTAATAAGGAACTTAGTTGTAAATGCTTTGTCATGTGACAGACTTTTAATTTTCAATTTTCTTTAGGGTGGAAAGAAAGGAACGTGCCCGATTGAAGACAGTAAAGTTTAATGCAAAACCTGGAGTGATTGATTCAAAAGGGGTAAGTACAAAAAATGGAAATATTAACTTGTCCTTATTGTCATAGATTTAACTATAATTACCATTTAGCAAACAAATAAGCTGCTACTATGCTGTTATAAAATGTATTGTTAATGGTAGTGAATATCGTTTCTGATACAGTGAATTTACAATACATATGTTAAATAAGGAGGTTAAAACTACCAGTGGTCAAAAGAAAAGATATGTTGATGCAGTTAGTACAATGAAGAAGAAAAGGGTTTAAATGAATATGTGTCTTTTAAATTAATATTCTCAAAGTGTGGGTTCCATTAGCAGGTGTCTGCTTCAAAAGTATTTTTAAAACTGCTGAGCATTATAAAACTAAGACAGTGGCCATGTAAAAATACATTTAAATAATCTAAATGAATACATGGATTGTTGTGACAGACATCAAACAAAAAAGAATGTACAGCTCTTTTTATAACAGTCTTAATGAGGTATCATTCACACACCATACAATTCAGCCAATTATATACTACGATGCAGTGGTTCTTAGTATACTCAGAATTGTATAACCATCATCACAGTCAATTTTAAAACATTTTCACCATCCCATAAAGAAACCCTACACCCAGTAGTCATCTCCTCCACTTTACTCCGTCCCCTACCCACACCCAGCCCTCGGCAATCACTAATCTACTTCCTGTCTCTAAAGATTTACCTATTCTGGATATTTTTTATAAATAAAACCATATATTTTGTGATGTTTTATGATTGTATTGTTTCATTTAATATATTTTCAAGGTTCATCATGTTGTAGCTTGTATATCAGTACCTGTCATCTTTATTGGCAAATAATATTGTATTGTCTGGATAGACAACATTTTATTTACCCAGTCATCAGATGATGGACATCTGAGTTGTTTTCACTTTTTGGCTATAATGAATATTGATGCTATGAACATTTGTGTACAAGGTTTTATGTATACAGTTGTTTTCATTTCTCTTGGGTGTATATCTAGGAGTAATTCTACTAGGTCATATGATAATTCTATGTTTAACATTTGGAAGAAATGCCAGGCTGTTTCACAGAGTGGTTACACTATTTTACATTCATACAGCAGAGGAGTCCAATTTCTAAATATCCTCGCCATAAGTTGTTATTATTTATGTTTTTCATTACAACCATTTTAGTGGGTGTTGACTGGTTTTGATATGCATTTTCCTAATGATGTTGAGCATCTCTTCATGTACTTATGGTCATTTGTATATCTTGTTTGGAAATATATCTATTCAGATCATTTGCTCATTTTTCAAAATTGATTATTTGTTATTTTATTGTGTGTTAAAAGAATTTGTTTCATTTTCTGAATACTAGACCCTTTGCATGTATGATTTATATATTTTTAAAATATTTTCTCCCATTCTGTGGGGTATCTTTTCACCTTCTTGATTATGTCCATTAAAGCACAAAAAGGTTGTGTCCTGTTGTTTAATTTTTATGTTACTGATGCCCAAGTTATGTGTGTTTCTGATTTTGGTGTCATATCTAAAGAACTGTTGCATAATACAAGGTTATCAAGACTTAATGTCAGTTCTTTTTGTAAGAACTTTATCATTTCTGCTCTTATGTTTAGGTCTTTGATTTATTTTGAGTTCATCTTTTGTGTATGATGTGAAATAGAGTTCCAGTTTCATTCTTTTGGATGTTACTTTCCAGTTGTCCCAATGTCATGTGTGGAAAAGACTACTAGGAAGTTTCTAGAAGTTTGTAGGGTATGGAATGAAAAGACAGTGGAATTTTTTCATGAACTTTTTGAAGCCCCTTCGTATTCTTCCCCACTAAATGGTATTGGCAACCTCATAAAAAAGATCAACTGACCATAAATGTGGGTTTGTTTGTGAACTTTCTGTTAGATTCTGCTGATCTGTGTGTATCCTTACATCAGAACTACTATGTCTTGAATACTGTAGCTTTGTTATAAGCTTTGAAATTAGTAAACGTGTTCTCCAATTTTGTTCCTCTTTTTTATGGTTCTTTTGACTATTCTGGTTTCCTTGAATTTCCATGTAAATTTTAGGATAAATTTGCCAGTTTCTGCAAAGAAGCCAGCGAAGATTTTCATAGAGATTACATTGAATCTGTAGATAAATTTTAACAATACTAAGTCTTCCAAACCATAAACATGGGATGTCTTTATATGTGGTTATGTGATCCAGCCTAGCACAGTGTCTACCCAACATATCCTTGCTACTCAGTGTGACTTTCTTAGAGCAAACAAAATGGAATGATCCTAAGTAGTATTCTGATAAACAAATCTGGTAACCATGTGATGAATGGATTGAAAGAGGGAGATACTGACCATGGGGAATGTATGAGGGAGACTATTACAATATTCTGAGTTTCAGAGTCTGAAAATGTCAGTTATAACAGTAACAGTCAGAAAATATTAAACTGATGTCATGAGAGAACTGCCATCCTAGGAAGTTTGATTCACTGGTTCTTAATTGTATGCCTGTTTCCTTTTCCAAAGTGTTAAGCTCCCTTTGCAAAGATGTTGACTGTGTGAGAGAAGAGAGGGAATAAATGAAGTTATGGTGATTGCAGACAGCTGCTAGCTGGACTGTTTCTCAGCCTGAATCAAACTACAACTGACTCTGAGAAATCTGCGTATTACTTCATAGAATCTGGGGAATTTCCACATGGCCAGTAACTCCAGCTACATCATATACAGATGAAGAAACTGAGCATCATTTCTCAGGGACATTCATAGAGTTAGTAGCAGAATCTGCCTTGGCATCATTTATCAAAGAAATTATTTGATAGCCATTGTTTTATTAGCAAGATAGAAATTTGGTTTACTTCACCAGGATGAGCTATAGGGATTGCTCGCGAAACAGCTTTAGAGTGGCATGCTGTATTTCAAAAGGAGAGTCATTGCTATTAGCAAAGAAAGCTCCTTAATGGGGCCAGTCTTTGGATGGTCAGAGTCAGAGGAAGCGTTCAAATGCCTATAGGTGACCTTCAGGGCCAGGGAGAAAGAACAAAGGAAAACCATACTGCCTCACACCACTGCAGCATCAAGAAGAAAAGCTTTCCCATCAAAGTTCATAAACTCTGAAAAAGCTCCTCTTCATTTGCATTATTATCATCACTTCTGTATGCCAGGTAGCCCTATAACAATTTCTCAACTGGTCTCTCTGGTTCCAGTCTTTTACCTTCCAATTCTCTTTCCATATCACATGCAGTGTGGTTTGAGCCACACTGCCATTTTACTGTAAGTTACAAAGGAAGGGATATTTGTCCAGGGAATTCCACAGTGTCACTAGCCCAGCGTAAAGAGAGTTGCTAACTCATTACAGTGTCGCTTAAATGTGATCATCACATTAGTCTAAACCTGTGCTCCCCTGTCCACTGCGAACCACCTAAGCAGCACATAGATAATTATCTGGTAAGGGAGTGAAAGTGACTTTTCTCAGAACTTCTCAAAGGGATCCTCAATCAAATTTTTTTCTCTGATACACAAAAGGATAGTTCCTATCTAAACCTGAAAGCCAAGCAGCTCTGTTAGTGCAGTGGTTACGAATTGGGCTGCGAACCTCAAGGTCAGCAGTTCGAAACTACCAGCTGTTCCACAGGAGAAAAATGAGGCTTTCTGCTCCCGTAAAGATTTACAGTCTTGGAAACCCTGTACAGGGTCGCTATGAGTCAGAACTGACTCCATGGCACATAACAACAACAAACCTGAAATCCAGCTGAACTCAATGAACAGTTTTTTGAATGACTCAGTAAATATACATGCAAAAACTGACACCAACCATCTCCCCCACAGCACTCTCTACTCAGCTGTGCTTGATCATTCATTGCCATGACCACACAGAACTCAGACACCATACTCACAGTTATGGGGTTTATTAGGGATGTTAACAGGTTACAGTGCAGGATCAGAAATGTTCAAGGCTTAGCGCTTATAGGGAGACAGCCTCTTCTCAGCCGTGCCCACAGGCAGGTCTCTTTCTGTCCAGGCAGTGTTATAAAGCTCTTACAGAACACACCACTTCACCATAACCTTCAGCCAGAAGGCATTTGCTCTGACTCCGTGTGTCAGCAAACCTAACCCCTCCCATTAAGTGCCTGAAGGCGTCCCTCTCTCCAATCAAGCCTTCTGCCCAGTCACTCATCTTTACTTGCTCCTCAAGCTGGGAAGTCCATTGCTCTATCTTTTGCTCTGGTTCTTGGTTCTGCTGCTGCTGCTCCTCCACCACTCCTCTGATGTCAAAGCTTTCTGTCCCTGGATTGAGGAGGTTCAATGCACAGGGATCTCTGGGTGCAAAGGACGTCTTCCACTCCTGGCTCTTCTTTGATAAGAATAAGATCCCTGGCCCACCCCACCCCTGCTTCTGAGATGGCTCATTAAAACCCATGTTAGAATTCCAAGTTTTTCCAATCAAAATTAATTCTGTTAACAATCACAACTGAATCATATAATTCAATAGGCATCTTCTCCCACCTTCTCTTACCCAGACCCAGCAGAGCAAAAACGTTTGGTGGGAATTACATACTATGTCTAGAAGAGACATTAAATCGTTCACTACGCTGCAATTCATTATATCAATTATTTCATTTCTCATGGTTTACTTATTTGCTGTGATTGATGAGGAAACTGTTGATGTGTGATATAGAAAAGTCATGGAGAATAAATTACACACCATATATACATATATTTGAAATGTTTATTGAGCAATCTTTTCTCTCCTAGAGCTACAAAGTACTGATGTAGAAACTACCAAATTAATCTGCAACCCTATATACCGAATTTTGTATAATTTATATCTGATAAAATCTGACCACCTTATATGTGTATATAAAATCTCCAAGTTTTATAATATTTTTCAGTTTGTACAGTTCTTCATCCTTCTACAGCTTAATTATATGTTTAAAGCACCTTTATTTATATTGTGTATGCTCACATTAACTGTATTTGGTCAACCTTATCCCCAGGAGGAAAAAAAAACAAAAAACAAATGTGAAATCCAATA